GAACCGCGGAAGGGCTGCGGATAATCTCGCCATCGGTGACATTCATAGCTAAGGGAAATAAGATCTCCTGCTCCCATGCAGTGTCAAACTAGCTGAGTGCATTACGGTTTTCTTGCTACCCTGAAGCATCTGCTCCGAGTCGGGGATGCTGGAACCGATGACCCCGTAGTTCGAGCCTCAGATGTTTGGTTTTTAAGTGGCTGGTGTTAAAGCAAAGTCATACTCAAAGGCGACTGTAGCAGCACCGGTTTCTGCGAGAAAGCTCCTGTAAGAGGAAACCCTGCTCTCTGGAGCCACTTTCGGTCTGTCCTACGGGCAGCTCCGCGTGATGGGCTGCTGCTGGAACCGTCCCAGCGTGCCGGAGCTGGAGGAGAGAAACTCGATCGGCGTTGGGAAGGAGAGATGACGGTGCCAGCCTGCAGTCTGGGCCTCGCTGGCTGGAGCATCTTCATACTGCAGCCTTTTGTTTGACATTGATCTGATCTCGGGGCCTTGAAAGCTGCTTGGGCTACAGGCTTCCTAGCTTCGTCTTGAAATATTGATGAAGCTTTTGCCTAAGCAGTACCTGTGGAGGCTGTAGCAGCGCGCAGCACTGCCCGTGAAGGACAGAGCAGACTCCTGCCCCAGGAAGGTTGGTTTGGCGGCCCCGGTGTCGTCATGAGCCCAGAGTTATTGCAGTTCTGCACAGCATGCGGTGTTTTGAAGGCAAGAGAAGGGCGATGCGCTCGAAGCTTCAGCCTGGGGTTCAAAAATAACGCCCAGAAAGAGGCACGGTGGAAAGAGCTGGTGTTTGTAAGAGAAGAAGTGACAGAAGACGTGAAATCAAGCTGTGACCAAGGAATTGGTTTAACCGGCCCCAGCTGGGCGCAGACAGAGACCCAACGGATCCTTGCTCCTGCACCTTGGTGCTCAGGTGTGGCAACTGCTGCTCTTTTCCCTGGCCCTGAAACACCTTTTACTGATGTATCTCCTCCCTGCACCCCTGCAGCTGCATACAGGTGGCCACCAAGAGGAGCCTGTGGTGGGTCTTGCCCTTCTTTGTCCCCCTCCTCATCCAAAAACTCCCAACTCGGTTCCCCGCGCCACCCAAGGGAGCTGTGGATACGGCCGGGGGCGAGCCAGGCTTACGGAGGTGGGGGGCGAGCCAGGATTACGGAGTTGTGATGGAAGCCCGGGGAGAGCATTAGGACTCTGACGTGGGCAAAGGGGGATTAGCAAGCTCTCTGTTTTCGCAAACAGAGGAAATGAGGCGTCAGCGTGGGAGCATATCCTGCAAGTTAGCGTAGGATAAACAAGCCTGTAGCGGCATTTAGGGTGATGGGGAACTCGCTGCTTGGAAGAACTGCTCCGATCGGTGATATTAAATGTTGAAAAGGCTTCAGCTCCGGGTGAGGCTGCCGAAATCAATAAGGTGTCAGGTGGAAGCTTGTCTCCACCCTCGGCTGCGCAGATGGGAGATGGAGAACCCTCCTCTCGGCAGCGCAGAGACCTCCAAGCCAGTCCCGTCTGGCTCTGTGGAGGCTGTTTACAGTCGAAAGCAGATCCAGGAAGGGAAGGCAGACGTCGAGATCCTGTTCTCTGGGCTATGCGCATCTCCCAGAGAGCGTGAGAGCAGAGCGAGATACGCTGGGCAAACCCCAGCGCAAGGGAACTGCCCGTTCTTGCTCTCAGGTGCCTCAGGACAGGGAGGTGACACTGATCTGCTGGTAACTGGTGGCTTTTCCACATGACGAGGGGAAAAAAGTTTAAAAATGGGGGGGAGGCTTGGAGGCTGTTCTGCTGCAATGTCAGTCTTTAAAAGAAGTATTTTTTTTTCCTGTTGGATCTCATTTTTAGGGAAGACGGAGCCAATTGAGTCGCTAGCAACTTGGCAAAGTGCAGATCAGCATGCTTGCATCCAGGAGGACAGGAAGGAAAAAGTCGAGCGTTTTGTAGGGTCTTCCCAGTGTGAACAGATATTTTTTTTGAAGCAGTGTCCTGAAACAGGTATGATTTAATCCCAATCTGAAGGAGGAGTGAGTAGAGAATCATTTTTGCAGCTGTGTTTCAGGTGACAGGAGAGAAGAGAGGCCGGTGGCAGCCAGCAAGGAGAGCTGAAGTGGATGAATGTGAGTTCCTGGGTGCGTGTGGTGAGCAGGTCCAGGAACAGGCAGAGTTTCCTAGAGGACGAATCGCTGTGAATAAATGAATTATTGTCAGCAACGGGGCTGTGATGCACTCTGAGCAAAATATGTTGGCATAAGCCTCGGTTAAAATGAGCTTATTCTGTGTCAAGTGCATGCGGTTCCCTGCGTGTGCCCT